CTGGCTGTTTTTCAACATCATAACCAGACTTAGCCCAGGAAAGGCAACACTTGTACAAGTTCTGAACTGGCTTTCAGGTGTGTTTTGAGAATCTGGACAAGAAGAAAACCACCCTCCAGAACTCCTTGTTAATTAAGTTTTAGGAATCCATTCCACACACATGATATGAGACATATTGGTTTAAGCAATTCATGTATGTTTTTACATGTCCAGTACTGCCACACACTCATCACAGAGAAACACCTTCATTGTGCATTAGCTTCCACCACATGCGAAAGCTTCCTTGCATAACAATCCCAGGAGCACATTTCACTCCTTTCTTTTCATATTTAAAAAGTTGTTTGTCTACAGTTACTCCTTAGATGCGTGTCCATGTGTGGACGCAGCATTTTAAAGTGGCCACTCGACCATTCATCTTCCCTGGAGCTGTCACATTGCAGCCTGTGCCAGACATTGCCGCAATAGCCATGTGTTGTTGATATCAGCTCCTACAGGAATACGCTGGGACTTCCAACTCCTACTCTGGCGTGTCAGGGTCACCTTTTAAATATAGGCTTTTCAATAAAGACCTAATAGTTCGCAAGACTGACTTTTAGAAAAACACTGACGTTCTACCTGCTTGCAGAAGGGAAATGAATGCGTGTTCATTTCACTTTGCATCACCATCTATGACTCTCCCTCAAAACAAAAGCTTGTTCCACCATGGCCAAAAATCAAATTATTTTGTTCTTAAATTGTTCAAAACCCCTGTTGTTTTCAGAAGCCTGAAGCTGTTTCTGAGCAAAATGCAAGGTAGAACATAGGTCATCATCAGCAAAATCCATTCCACTGTGTTTTTAATTAAGCCCAGGAAGTCGATCTCTGTGTCGGCAGACAGGTAAGACCAAAATATATATCACCAGAGGCACTTCCCTACTCTTGCTCCGTGATGTCGGATAACAGCAAGAGGATGGAACGTGTGACATATAAATAGCTTCCAGGTAGTAATGCAAATACTTGTAGGAGTTCGGAGAACAAATTCATAGCCCTAGCCCATAGAAGAGAGCACCTCTACATTTTAACTTTTGGAAATGCAAAAATACAATCCCACCTTCACTCTTAGTCAACTCAGCGAGGTAGAAGATCTCCTACGATAGCAAGAAGAGGGAAAGGCCAATCAAATCAAGCCATTTTCTGGGAAGGAACTTGCCTTTGGAAGAGCCTTGGCCTCATGACACTCCTCCGACAGGAAAACCTCTAGGGCATGGAAAGCTAGAACAAATAGCGATCAACAATTTTTTTATTTTTGTTACGAGTGACAATAAACCAATCTGAGAAAAAGCTTCGAAGACTGCTTTTTTCATTTAGCTTTCAAACCCTTGGACTGCCGCAGAGCTGTTAATCCAAAGCAGAAATGATTCAGAGCTAAAAAAAGCTGAGTACTTACTATTCCAGAGACAGGTTTTCCATCTACTACCTCCAGGAAAGCAGTCTTCTCCAAACAGGCAACAAGTCTGAGACGGATCAAAGTTTCTAAACTTTCAGATAATGCTGACAAGCAGAACGCATATCATTATCTATATCAAAGGCTAATCATTAACTACTGCTTGGATTTAGCTATGATCACTTTTACTCCACTTTAAGCCTATTTATTGCCTGACCTGCAGCCTATTTCAAACCAGACCCATTACTTGCAATATGGTCAGTGGGAAATATTTATATTCAGCTTCTCCTAGCTGTGCAAAATGGGGGTAAGGGCTGAAGCAGCAGGGATTTCTGCTACGTTCTACTCGGGGTGAAACCATCCCTCACAAAATATTGACAATCCCTATTGTTACAGCCAAACATTTCATATGATCCAAGATAAACATTTACTGCTCGGACTATGCAGCCCACTGAAGGCAATCATGTTAGGACCAGACCAAGGACTGGGATGCTCACATAAAGCTCCCCGTAATAGCGAAAGTAACTCCCGAGTCTTCCTCACGAGATACTTGCGAAAATGCAAAGAGATTTTAGAACTCCCTGACCAGATTAAATGTGTTGCAGAGATGACTTTCAAACACATTACACAAAACACATTTCAAACATTAATTTCTCTGACAGAGAAATCAGCGTTTTGCTTGCTTTTGGATATTGTAACAAAGCAAGCTTAGTTTCCTTTAGTATCTACCCCATAATGAAGAAATGCGACGTTTTCAAAGCTACAGGCCAATTTTTAGGAGCTTGGGGGAGTGGTAAAAAATAACAAGGCAGATATATCATAAATTGTGCAGAAATTCTTCAACAACGTGTACAAGACAAACCCTGCCAGGGTAGCTGGCTTTCTGACCTGTCTGATCGGAAAGCTGGCGTCAGCAATTGCTACGGAAGAAAAAATGTGACGAAGGAGAAAAAGTGGAAGAAGTATAGCTGTACTGTGCTCTGCAATACAAGTGCCCTTATTGTAGGGGCAGTGGTTTCAAGCAAGATCAAAAGCAAGAGTTGCACAAAAAGGGATCAACTGGCAAGCAGTGCACATGATCCTACTGATGTACGGGATGGTTTTACTTCAGGAATTCAGCAAATTAAGGAAAGTCATGCTACTGCCAAAAGGTTTTTTAAACTACTACGTCTTATCAAAGAAGCAAAACAGTCAGAATAAAGCATATTAGGCTTTACTATCCATATAGCAGGACATCTTATAGCCAAGGACACTACTTTGTGTTTATGCCCTGTATGAAGAGAGCAGCACAAAAATGGCTTTACAAGTACAGCCAAACCTGTAGCAGGAACATGAGGGCAGCTGTAAAACTCCCAGCTCACTTTCTTTTAAATTGTTTGGGCTTCAATTTGACAGTACCTGTAACATTTTCCTCCAGCATCCTTCAGTCTCACCTGACACCACCTTAAACATTAAGGTTCAGTATGTCCTTGTGAGATAATGTCTTACCCCAAGTTAATGAAGGGCACCAAAGCCAATGGTAACTTGATTTGTATAAAACTCTCCTGGCAGAGAACCCAGAAATCATGACTCAGTCTCTTGTCAAATCCATTAGACCTGGAGATCAAACAAGGACACCATAAAAGAGGCAACTGAGAAAACCAGACCAACACCGTGGGTTGCATTTCACTTCCCCAGTATTCCAAGGCTGGGTGTGTTCCTCAGGAGCTTGCGCTTCTACTTCCCTTATCACTTTGATGTACAAGGGTTGACTTACCATGTCAGAAATGTGCATGGTATCTCGCTGCCCTCCCACGGAGTGCTACACTGACAGCAGCCGCTGTGGTCACTTCCCGAGGGCTGGAGGAGAATGAACTGGGATCGCCTGCCTGCTGGGAGCGTTGGCTTTGAGTCTACTCCACGTTTGTTAGTGTTTTTCTTTCCCAAGTAAAGGATGCAAGCTTGAAAACGCAGTCAAGCTGTGACAATACGCTGTCAAGTCTCTTTAGTACAATGCCTTCAGAGCAGGAAAAGTTAACTGAGGTAGTAACTGATTAATCGGATCCCTGGCTCTCAGTGCAGCCTCCGTCCAGACACAACATGGAGGAACCCAGCCAGGAGCTGCAGGGAGCTGCTGAGCTGCACAGCGCACTGAGGCCGGGCACTCAGCCCGCACCGGGATGCACAGAGCTGCTTCAGTTTTCCCATACAGAGTACATTCACCATTTGAAAGAAATCAGACAAGGAGCAGGTTGGGTCACAGGGACGAGCATCTCCATCAGGAGGCTGAAGCCACATACCTTTCAGATAGCTGCTTTTCCAAGCTCACAAAGGAGCAGGCTAGCCGGTTGGCTAACAAGCATTAGCTTGTAAGCTCAGAAGTGCACTGCATCTTGGAGGTGGTCTGAAAGTACTTTTTAACCCTACAGATCCAAGTCCAATTAAATTATCTCTAACGTGAGAAAACACCTGAAAGTGTATTTACCATATACACTCCTTCCCCCAAGAAGAGATGCATTAAGTGTTTAAAAAAAAAGCCAACTGTCAAGCTTTCTCTTATCCAGGTTAGCCAAAAGATCAGCTAAATATATCAAAGCTCATATTCCAAGCTCAGGTACCTTCATCAGAAGAATGAGATTTGAATCCTTGATAACTAATGAGCATGTGTGGGAGAAGGCGGCTTTGTTAAAGCGAAATAGCACTCACAAAGCCTCAGGAGAGAACTTGGTGCACTTGCTGTTAGTTTCATGGCAGAACAGCTGTATTCTTTTCCAAGTTTTCTCCCAGCTTCTCAGGCTTGATATCAGGATGTGCTGAGCATCCAGTGAGAACAGAAGATGCTCGATCACTTACAACATTTTGGCCCGTGATCTAGGGCTACCATGGTCTGCTATGTTAATTTAGATAAACATTAGAGTGAACCGATTATATGCATGTACAACTTTTTAAACAGATTATAAATGACATTCACATCTGTGGTACGACGACAACTGTGGGATTTTCTAATATTATAAATGTGCAGACTGAAAGAGCAAAAAGAAAATTTTAAAATATTTTCCACAGAAGCAATTGCTCTAGCTAGCGATCACAGTTGTTCAAGTGCCACTGGAAACCAACAGGACCCTTGCAGATATGAACTGGTGAGACAGAGGGAAGAAAAGATGTTGTGAAACCTACGTTGGGAAGACGACATTAAAGACTGTAGAAACAGAGAAGGAAGGACAAAAAAGAGGTATTTCATCACAGCCTCCCGCTTCTAGATTGGCTTCTAAACCAGAAAAGTCTAATTCCAGGACCAACAAATGAAAGGCTTTAGACAGTGAATTTGTAGTGCAGCAAAATAGGAGTTTAATTCGTTTACAATAACTAGTCCCATTATTCTCTGCATTAGCAGATTCCAGCTTTCAGCTGAAAAAGAGGTTAATGAAAAAATCATTGGTCTCGAGTCCCCTGGGACTTGATTGGGAACATTTCCAGAAAACCAGATTGAAACAAAATGCAATGAAGTATAACTAAGATTGGATTTCCCAGAGAAAAGCAACATAAACTAGACTGAGTCTTTTTCATCCTTCCCTAAGAAAAAATTGCCAAGACTCACAGCGATTTCCTGGCAGACTTTTGGAGAAGTTCACGCTGGCAGTCTGCTTCAGCTCAACTTCACCGAATTCTGATGCAGATTATTGCTAACTTTCAGGGTGACCTTCAGCCAAGTGTGGAGAAGGCAGGTCTGCAGGGGCATGAAATTTTCCTGTTGGGTAGAGGGGGTCTTTATAGCAAATACAGAAACCAAAAAGGAAAGGAGAAAATATTACATTTTACTTCAAAGAACAAAAAGTTCTGTCTTCTCTCTGACCTAATGTCTGGTTGGAAAACAAGACAGCCAAAAGGAAGCTCCTTAGGGCCCGGCCTCAAAACTCACCATGTGAATACGGTAGGTCTTCTCATCTATTTGTACTAGAAGACTGTTAAAGATTAGTATTCTCAACACCTTCCCTTCTCAAGCGTTAAGCTTTTGTTCAGGTATAGTGTCTCACTAATCCAAAACTTGAAGTTACACTGCAAAGGGGTAAGTGAGAGAAGAATCCTCCCAAGCCTCTTTTCTAAAAAGGAAAAAAAAAGAAAACACAAACCTCCCTGTCATTGCACCGCTCCAAGTCAGAGTAAGTGGCAGGGACTATACCTTTAAAACAAAAAAGCAAACATGCAAAAGTGACTTGGAAAGCTTATTTAATTCTTCCTCTCTACTGGCAGAAATTATTCTAATTCTCAGCCTAGTTAAAAAGCTGCTCTAGATTAGAAATCCGATATGAAATTAAAATAATTCTCTGTAACTTCCAACAAGCAGTGAAATCTCAGTAGAAAACAGCCATACAAAATTACTCAGTTCTCAATACAAAGTTGTGTGGGAGCCTGCAACTCCCGCTAGTTTTATTCTTTTCAATCCTTTTTTTTTTTTTTTTTTTGGGGGGGGGAGTGGAAGAAGAAAAAACCTGCTTACTGCAAAAATTTTTGTATTCATAGCAAAAAGCATCACTTTAATTTTGTATTGTGCAGCAGGGCAGTCACAGTCAGCTTCACCGACACATCCACAGTTATGAAGCCAACATGCATTTAAATAGCAATATTTACACATTATTTCCAGTGCCCCCTTTGTAATGAAGGATGAGAAAAAAAGTAACGCATAATCCAAAGCTTGACGAAAGCCTCAGGAAATATTACATCATAAATTGTATTAATTGGGACCATTAAACTGAACGATAACTTACCCTATAAGATCACATATTGTTACTCATTAAAAATACTGCAAAAGCTTTATTTACCTCAGCCTCAAGCAGAGGCAAATTAAGATCAAACGGATTAAAAGTATATTTAATAAATACTTGTGAAGAGTTTAATCCACCTTTGCACAAAACGTCATACTATTAAGCATTCTGAAGCTTGGAATTTGAGCACGAACAGGAAAAATCGGTCAACGACTGTGAACTCATGTGGAGCCACAAGCCCACTGCAAACTCAAATGCAGAAGAGGGCTATGAACAAAGCTTAAATAAAAAAAATAAGTGGCTAAGACAGGGCTTAGACGTGACGCTTGCCGTTGTGCTGCAGGACATATTCCTACCAGCTACCTACCCACCCTCACTGACATTAAGACTTGCCAGTGCTGAATCCCAGTGTGGGAAAGCACATCAGGTTCTCAGCTAAGAGGTTGTTCACAGGACAGGAATCCTTGATTGTAGCAGGACTGTTATGTTTCTGCTACCAACAGTCGAAGTTAAAATTCGTACTCAGCCTCAAGCAGAGGCAAATTAAGAACAAACAGATTAAAAGTATATTTAATAAATACTTGTGAAGAGTTTAATCCACCTTTGCACAAAACGTCATACTATTAAGCATTCTGAAGCTTGGAATTTGAGCACGAACAGGAAAAATCGGTCAATGACTGTGAACTCATGTGGAGCCACAAGCCCACTGCAAACTCAAATGCAGAAGAGGGCTATGAACAAAGCTTAAATAAAAAAAACTAAGACATAAGACAGGGCTTAGACGTGACGCTTGCCGTTGTGCTGCATTCCTACCAGCTACCAGCTACCTACCCACCCTCACTGACATTAAGACTTGCCAGTGCTGAATCCCAGTGTGGGAAAGCACATCAGGTTCTCAGCTAAGAGGTTGTTCACAGGACAGGAATCCTTGATTGTAGCAGGACTGTTATGTTTCTGCTACCAACAGTCGAAGTTAAACTTCGTACTAAAAAGAAAAAAAAAAAAAAAGAAAAAGCCCAAAACAGTCGAAGTTAAACTTCGTAATAAAAAAAAAAAAAAAAAAAAAAAGAAAAAGCTGGGTACAGACGTAACATTACCTGTACCCAAAAAACCCTAAATTCAAGTGCAACACTAGGACTTAGCCACATAGGTCTTCTTCACTGTTTAAAAAATATATCTTGAGTGCTAACTTGGTGGAAATACGGAAGGAGGCAAAGCAACAAGTTATCTTTTCATCTAAGGAACGTAGGAACCACAACTCCTATTTGAAGTTCATGTCCACCTGCCATATCAAGATAGGACCAATCTGCTCCCATTAGGAATTTACATCAAATTATTGTATAACTATTGTGTGTGTGTGGTTTTGTGGTTTTTTTTAAACAGAAACAAGGCTTTTGACCCTTTGCACGTTTCATTCTAAAATAATCACGTATTCTGCAATGAAAAAGCTACTTAATACTTCCCCGTGTCTTTTCCCTTTAGAATTGAAATCACAGATATCCCAGTCGTGCTGTATTCTCATTGCAATAAACCCCTCAAATTACTGCAAACGCAGCGCTACAACAGACCTAGCAACTTCGTGCTCGGACTCAAACATCCTAAAAGTAACTATTATTACAAATTTCCAATCAGTGCCAGAAAATATCCAAAGCCAGGAAATTATTCAGCCCTTATTGCCGTTTTGCTCTCCCCTGCGTTCAGTTTTGCCGCATTTCAGCATCCCCGGGTTCCGAAGTGCTGCATTTAAAGACAAGGCAGCGGGTCTCACAAAGCATCTAGAGATACCAGCTTTTCAAGAGAAAACAAAAAAAAAAAACCCCACCAACAAAAGAGGCATATTTCTCAAGCTACAAGGCAAAGGAGGAAAATTGTTTAGCGAGGGCCAGCTCAGATGTTTTTAAAACCAAGAAACTATTCTGACGCTGAGAAGAAAGCGTGTCACACAGCGGTTGTCGCCCCTCGGTAACTTAGAAGTACGAGAACCAAATCTGGAGCATAACAGTGCCCGCGTGTCCCCAGCCTTCCCGTAGCACAGACCTGCAGCGGGGATACCGAGCCGCACAAGCGGAGCAACGAAACCACCCGCCGGCAAAGCCAGACCGTCCCCTGGAGGCGGGCCGGCCACCCAGCCCCGGAGGGGCTACGGCTTCCCCCCGGGTTTGGGGCAGAACGGCGGGATGCCTTCACAGCAAGGGCAGCGCACGGCGACTCGGGGCGCCCAGCCCTCACCTCGGGAACAAACGCGCTCCCGCTCGCAAAGCCAGG